AATCAGGAAAGAAACCTACAACAGTGACATCTTCACCTCTCGGACAGAGATCAATTGACGCAATGTTACTGGCGGAAAAGACAAGTTCCGCCCAAAGTTTGCAGGTAGTACAGTCAACACTTGCTATAATGCAGGAAATGATGGTAAAAACCCATGAACTGATAGCGAGGAATCACGAAGACATGAAATTAGAAATGAGAACGGAAATAGGAGGAGTGAAGAACGAGATACAAAATTTGGATAGTAAAATCGGAAAGATGCAGCAGACAATGACAAAAAATGAACAAAAATTAAACACAGTAGATACAAGAACTGAGGTGGTGGAAAAAAGATTAGATTAATTGGAACAAATTTGTAAAGTCTTATATTGTGAACTTCGGGATTCTGTGGTGCGTATAGAATTAGAAAAAGCATCATTTTATTTGAGATTCCAGAACGCTGGTGAAGATAAAAAGGAAGATCTACGTGAAATAATGGTGAATTTGATAGCAACAGCCCTACAGAAAGACAAATAGGAAATTGAGAATGACATCGATGAGTTCTACAGAGTATATACACATTATGCCCGAAGACACAGACTACCATAAGAAGTCCACATCCGATTCGCAAGATGATACGAGATATGTTATACGGCAAGACCAGAGACGAACCACTGATATATAAAGATCATGAAGTGGTAACGTCGAAGCAAATACCTAGGAGAGTTAGGGAGCAAAGAAGGGGCTACCAGTTTTTGTCATCTCAGTTAATTAAGAATGGTATATCATTCAGATGGCTCACCCCGGAAGGGCTCCTAGTAACATGGCAGGATAAAAAATAAAAAATTGATACAATAGAAAAAGCGCATCAATTTCACACACAGTATCTGGGACCTTAGGAAGAATGTGAAAATGGAGAAGATTTAAATACAAGAAGTCAGGAAGAACAATTCTCTGAAGAGAAAGAACTTGCACCACAGTCAGAATCTCAGAAACTTAGAGAAGATGAGGACAACAGACCAAGTACAAGAGAATCCAGAACAAGAAAAGAAACAAAAAACGCTCTACACAGACAGTAACACGAACAGATAAATTACCTTATTCTCAGTTAATATCAATGGCTTAAACTCAACATTAAAAAGAAAACAGTTATTTGAAAAACTTAAAAAACAAAATGCAGACATAACTTGTATACAAGAAGTACATATCATAGATAAACAGGCAGACCTCCTAAAGGATACCAATTTGGGAAAAATGTATTGGGCTCTTTCAAATCAAAGAAAAAGGAGTGTCGTAGTATATATATATATAAAAGATTGGCTGCAACACAAACAAGTATACAAGAATGATGAAGGAAGAATGTTATTTATAGAAATAATATTAAACCAGAAAAAGATTTTGTTAGTTACAGTATATGCCCTGAATGTAAATCAAAAAGAATTCTATAATAAACCCCATCACTAGTTAGTAGAAACTGAATATACAAGTGTATGTATTGTAGGAGATTTAAATGCTTTTTCAGACAAGGACAAAGACTATAAAAGCTCCCAAAAAATAAAAATAAAAGGAGACTATTCCCATCTTCTTTTAATAATATGGTGAGGGAATTAAATTTGAAGGATGTGTGGAGAGAACTATATCCAACGAAAAAGCAATATACTTTCTTTTCCAGATGTTTAACTATTGGCTATAGTATTAAAAAGAATAAAGAAAAAAGGCAACAACAAAGTGTGTGGAGAGAGAAATATATCCACAGAAGAAATTAGAAAGGAAATTGGAGCCTAAAAACTAAATAAAACCCTGGACCCAGATGGAATTCCATCTGAATTCTATAAGGAGTTTCAAGAGTTACTGGAGGAGTTAATGACAGACTTATATAAAGAAGCCTTGGATAGTGCTAATATACCAAAGTCATGGACCGAAGCATATATAACCCTTATTCACAAAGAGCAATCAGTCCCACAAAAAAATCAGAATTACAGGCCAATATCACTTTTAAATGTAGATTATAAGATTTTGGCCACAATATTGGTGGAAATATTAAATAAAATATTAAGTAGGATTATTTATACTGACCAGAATGGGTTTCTGCCAAATAGACAAATGAAGACAAATAAAAGAATAATTGTGGATGTTTTAGAATTCTATGAAATACACACAACTAAAACAATGGGCACTGATGTTTTTAGACGCTCAGAAGGCTTTTGACAATTTGAATTGGAATATTGTTATTAAACAATTGACAGGCATGAAATTTGGTGAAAATTTTTTAGGATATATTAAATCAGTATATAATATCCAAACTGCAAAAATATTAATAAATGTGGAAAATACAGATAATATAAGGATAAATAAGGGTGTAAGACAAGGATGCCCCTTGGCTCCCCTACTTTATATATTAGCAGAAGAGATACTACTGGTACAAATCCGACAAAATCAAAGAGATCAGCGGGTTAAAAGTTAAAAAAGAGGAGTACAAACTTCAAGCATTTGCTGATGATATGGCATTTATAGAGGAAGATCCCTTGGAAACGACACCCATTTTGATGAAAGAAACAGAACAATATGGAAAGGTGGCAGGGTTAAAAATTAATAAAGAAAAAACAAAAGTGATAACAAAAAACTGTACAAATGAACAAAAGGAAGAACTAACAAAGAGATTAGGGATACAGGTGGTAAATAAAGTAAAATATCCGGGGATATGGCTGACAGCTAGGTGCTCATCAATTAAAAAAGATAATTATGATAAATTAACAATTCAAATATTTAAAGACTTAGATAATTGGGCTAAATTGCAAATATCTCTATTAGGCTGTACTGCAATAGTTTTTTGAAGAACTAAATAAACATATATCCAAATAAAATATAAATTATTACAGGACGATAGAAAGAAAGAAAGGCTTTGGTCTTCCAGATTTCAAAACATACTACTATGCTGCGATAGTAACCTGGCTCAAAGACTGGGTTAATTTGATAAATAAAAGGATCTTAACATTAGAGGGCTTTGATCTCCAACTTGGATGGCACACATTTATGTGGGATGGAAAGAGTAAACACCACTTGTACTTTCAAAGGCATTATATAAGGAGTGGGTTATTAACTATTTTGGGAAAAGATAAAAAAGTACATTACTGTAAGGTCCCAACTGTGGTTATCTACAATGGAGGCAGTTACACACCCAAACATTTTAGATTTTGATAATATTGTAAGATATAAAGATCTATTACATCAAACCGGAGAGTTAAAGGGTAGGAATCAAATACAAATACAAGGAAAAGAGATAGCAAGGTGGTCCTATGCGCAGATACAAACACATTACAAAAAGATAAAGAACAATTTGGTTTTAATATGATCTACCAATAATTAAATAAGATTTGGCATGGAGAGGAAAGGAAATTGATTAGTAAAATATATAAATATCTATTGGATTATAAACTAAAAGAAGAAACAGTCAAGGAGTGTATGATAATTTGGGCAAAAAATGTGGGGCACAGTACTGAATTAGACAAGTGGGAACATATCTGGGAAATAAATTACAAACTAACTATGTCAGCCTCGTACAAAGAGAATCTCTATAAAATGGTGTATAGCTGGCACTTGCCACCCACAAGACTGGCTAAGATGTTCCCGAACCTCCCCCCAAATTATTGGAAGTGTAACTGCATCCAGAGAACATACTTTCATATGTGGTGGACATGTTCATATGCCCAGAAATTTTGGAAAAACATCAAAAATTGGATTCTAAATATAACTAAACAAGAAGTAAAACTTGAACCTGAAACCTTTTTGCTGGGTATGATAGACTCAAAAATAGAAAAAAAATATCAATATTTAATCTTGCACATTATAATGGCAGCCAGAATAACTATGCTCAAAATTGGAAACTGTCTATTGTCCCTTCAGAGGAGATGGTCATTAAAAAAATTCATGAGTGTGCAGAGATGGACAGCCTAACCAAATTACTAAAAAACAACAAAGGTAGTGAATAGTACAAAGTTTGGAACTGTTGGTATGAATGGTTAAAGAGAAAGCAACATTTGACAACTGAATAAGTAATGAAACTATGAAGGACGTGCATTTAACCATAGTGTTCTGTGAAATTAAAACATTAAAAGAATGAGGAACGTATTGTAACAAGGTAGATCACGTCAATGTTATGGGGTAGAAGAAAAAAAGAAAAGAAAAATGTAACCAATGTTCAATACATGCTGCAAAATGTATATATGTATATATATTGGTTTATGTCTGTTTGTTTCTTTTTAAATGTTTTAAATATATGAAACTTAAATAAACTTTATTTTTAAAAATAAAAATAAAATAAAATAAAGAAAACAACATAGTGAAACTTCAATGAATGTTTGCTCCAGGGAGTTTCAAAAGAAGGTATAAACTTTTAATAAAAAAAAACATTGGAAGAAATCTAAGATTGCACTATATAGGAAAATAGTGGATTTCATTAGGGAAAGACAATAGGAGGCTGAATGGGAAAAGAAAAAGGATGTGGGAAGGGAAAGATACCTAAATTTTATTGCTTACCTGTATATGATCTAAAGAAATTATGTATCTGTCCATTCTTTGGTTCATTAATTGAATTTCTCTTAGTGAGTTAGATTTTCATCTTGCAATGAAATGTTTAAAATGAAAGGAAAGCTTTTTTAATTTATAAATTAAAAGTGAATCTTTATTTTTGACAATAGAATTTGTCAACCCCCAAAATATGAGATTGTTGGAGACAGACTTATATGAGCTCTGATCAATTCTGTTCAGAAGTACGTTTCCAAAACAGTTGGAAGGAATACAGCTGATAAGAAGCACAAAGAAATGTCTTTAATTAAATATCTGTTTATCATTATTTGTTTATTTGTTAAATTGAAGGCTACCCATCTCCCTCTCAGTGACCCTGGGCAAGCATGCAACAAATGTTCTCTGGGATATCCAGTAAATGTGAAAGAGTCATTTGATAAATTAGTTTTATGGTAAGATCATAATTATCAATAAATATATATATTGTTTGGTACCTACTTAGCTCTCAGGAGATCTTGATCCTTCAGTGCTGAACCTTGCAAGTAGATAACCCTTTGGGACCACATGGGAATTTGAAGCACTCTTCGAACCTGAACATCCATCTCCGTGGGACACAATATAACCACATAGTAGTCCTATAAAAATGCATGTTGTAAGAATCAACAAGAACCAGAAGAAATATTACATGGTTATATTTCATGGATATTTTCCATTTAAAATTTATCTTGGAAAAACTTAAGAGTTGAGAGAAGGATAGTTGAAGGATAATTTATTTTTTAACCTTTCTAAAAAAGAAAAGTGTTCCTGCTATTTATTTCAATAATGATTTTATTGATGCCAAAGTTGCTCTGCAAGATATCAACATGTAATGCTTAGCCTCATGCAGAGATGAGTTTAAATCACTTCCTCTGGCAAAAAATGTTAAACATTACGCACACTGAAAAGGAATCTATGTTCAACAGCAGAAAATGTCAGCTTTGGTGGCTACTACATAGATCTCATTAATCATTAAAAAAGGCTCAGAATTGGCTCTAAAGAAACAACATAAGTCTAGTAAAAAGAAGTGCTGGATGTTTTATAGCCCTTTTCTAAATTTTAGAGTAACTTACATTTTACAGATATAAGTCTGTGACCCATGATACTGCTAAGATTTCAGTCATATGTGAAATAAAAATGTTAAAAAATGTGAATATTTCTGGCTGAATTTAGATAAATGCTGATCTACTGGACTTACCTGGAGCCTAGGATGAGCATAGAATTCATTTAGAAAATCCATAAGCAGGTCAATCTTAAGAGAACTGACACACAAAACAACATGTTTCTCTGTCTGAGCTCTATGTCGGCTATAATTTCCACCTGATTTTTGTCTTTCCATCCACAAATAAGCCAGTTGCTCAAACTGCAATAAAATAAATTTCAAGATGAAGTATGGCCTCAAGAAGTCAACAAGGAGATGCTAAAAAACCATATAGTCCAACTGTCTAGACTGAGGTGGGGAACAATGGCTCAGGAATTCTGGGAGTTGAAGTCCACAAGTCCTAAAGGGGCCATTGTTCACCATCTCTGGTCTAGATATTTGTCTGTTGTGATTTAATTTAATATGGCTTGTAGCAATATCTCACATAAAGAATATATAATAAGTGAACGAAGAATAACCTAGCAGTACACATTTCAGCAAAACACACTTGAATATTAACGTGCATTACCATATCACATATACTGTACTTTCTAGTTAGCTGAATGTGGGCAGCAGTATGTTGGCTTTCTTGGTTCTTCTGTAAAAATCTTAGCTGTAATTTATTAATTTAAACAGTAAATTTGTACGTGCACTCATTTTGACTTGGCTCCCTTGTTGATGAAGAGAGTCAAGATTTAGTCTCAGAGAAGACTACCCCTAAAAAGGAATTGTGGCTTGTATTGTCCTAATAATTCTTTGTTTATTAATTAATCAAAGTAAAAAAAAACATGTTTTTTTTAAAGAACATCACAGTCATAGATGATTATTAGATGGTGAGCCATTAGAATGGAAGACAGATGCAAGATGTTCAGGAAGCTGCATGAAACAGACCCCAAAGAATTAAATTACTAAACATCACAAAAATAGATGGAATTCTGGAAATAGAAATAAAAAAGGATTTGGTGTAGTGATAAAATGTCTAGTTCATAGGGAAAAAATTGTTGTAAACAATGTACTCAAAAAGTCTAGCAATGGTTAAGATTAAAGAGGCATAGAAAATGCAGGACAATTTTGACAGAATTTGTAGTCTGTTTTGGAATGTTAGCAATTTGGCAGAATTCTGATTTTAAAGTGCAGCTTTCTTCTAGGCAGTGTGTATAAGGCAGAGGTGTCCAACTTGCGTCGTCACAAGTTGCAACTTTCCACCCCTCGCTAACCGGGAATGGATGTGGCCAGTATATGACTCATCTGGCCTGTGGGCTGTGAGTTTGACAGTCCTTGTATAAGGCAATTCTGCTCTTCAATAAATTATTGAGGCACTTATGAGTATGGATAAATTTATTTTATGTTTGCTGTCTTTTTTTAGTGAATGGTTCAATGTTATACATACAGCATGCACTTGGAAGTGAATATATGTGTTCTGATAGAGGGAAATACCTGTGGCTCAGGGTTGAAACAAGGGTCCCTTGATACTCTCTGAGCTCATTGTTTTCTTGCAAACATTTCATTTATTCAAACTAGATAACATTATCAGTGTGTATGTAATCTTGCATGGAGATTATGTGATACTATTGATCAGAACCTGAATGATTTCTGATGAAGTTTGCAAGGAAGAGAATAGATTTGAAAATGAATATATCACTGACCAAGGAAGCTGTTTTTGACAAGAGAAATAGAACAATTGTTACTCATTTCTAAAGAGTAAAAAAGCAGAGAATATGTAGATGAACCAGTGTAGCTTAGTAGAATCTTTACTAAAGATAACATAGACGGAGAAATTTAAAAACGACAAATATTTGTAGAAACAGTGGCTGGCTCATATTTAAATGATGGTCCACTAGAACTCCAAGATCCCTCTCACAGTTACTGTTATTGAGCATGGTACCTCATATAGCATACCTGTGCATTTTGTTTTTCTTGCCTAAATATAGAAGTGTACTTTTCTCACCATTCAATTTCATTTTGTTAGGTAGCACCCAATGTTCCAGCTGGTGCCCAATGTTCAAATTATATACTATATTATACTATATTACATTATATTAATTGAATTATACTAGTGCTCTATTGTAAGTAGATAAGAAATAGATATATAAATGAATATTTTGAAATGATAAGGTAAAATACAGGTGTAGTCATTAAAAATATTCAAAATTAAAATGTTATTATTCTAAGTCTTTTTAAAAAGAAAATAATGTTTTACCTGTATTGGTAATACTACAAGGGCAACACAGATCATAATTACAACCAGCAATTTAGAAGGCCAGATCTTGGGAGTAACATCCCCAAATCCTACAGTGGAAAATGTCACTATGCAGAAATAGAGGGAGTCAAAGAGAGTCAGCTTGTTTCCTGCTCGTTCCAGATGTTGAATTCCACAAATACTATGGATTTAAAAAAACATATGTAACTAGATAGATTAGTGCATTACAATTCTGTTTGGTCAGGGGATTAATTATCTCATATACATACTTGTATTAATGTAAAAAAAAATCAGTTTTGTTTTATATTTCACAAAAGTCTGCATGTTTCAAAATTAATGAACCCATGTTATCATTGATCTCAAATACTGACATATATATGATGCCCAAACGTAAGAAGAGGAAAAAAAAATGCACCTTTTCATTTGAAAACCCTGAGCAGCTTGAGATCATGAAAGCTTTATATCTCTTAAATAGCCATTATGGTCACTTAATGATCATAAAGTTGCTTTTCTGGAAAGAATGTTAAAATTATAGTTTTTCCTATTATAGGACCTATAAGAATCATAGCAGCAGGCAGAAGACAGCTAAACTGAGAATTTATAGCATTAAACCATAATGAACAGATAGCCTCAATTACTAAATACATTTGAGTAATATTTAGAGACACCGTGTTAGCATATGCCACCATGAATATATTACTGTTTATTTTCCATTCTATCCTTATTCACAGTCAATCTATATAAATAAAATCGAAATACCACTCACACATCATCACAATATCTCCAGAATCATAAAGCCCTACAAACTTGAAATTTGAAAGGTATGTTCCTCTTGGCTTCTAGATGCTCACTAAGAAAGAATTTTTTGAAACGACATCAGAACATTAGTATTTCATATATTATTATTAACACGCTCTGATGCTAAGGAGTTCTACCCCCTCTCCCCACCTAAAATCTGTTCCAAATGCAAAACACAAGCAGAGAAGAGTTTCACTTTCACAGCAGCAACCAGTTTTAATACAGAACAGTTGACTAAGCCACGCCCAGGCTCCTTGCTCTTTCCTTGCTCACACAGCAAATACTGTTTCAGTTTCCATGTTTCAGTTTCCAAATAGCCCTCAACTCTCTCACACACTGACAGGATGTTAGCCAGATAAATACTGATGGATGCTGGTAGGCAGAGGCACAATTTTCCCCCTTTATTTTCCTCCCCAAAAACTAAGCCTGATCACAGTTTCATGGTGAAGCACGGGTATAGAGCTAGTTTAATATAAGTCTGAACCTGATAATAAGACCTAAAAAGGTTGAATGTTATACTGTGTTGCACTACTTAATGAAGGGATTCTGTACATAAAACAAGCTTGGAAATCTTCAGTCCAAGTTACCTCAACAATATTCATTTATATTTAGTTTTCTGCCATTTCTTCTCTTGGCCATAGAGGTATCTTATGTTATTCAAATTGATGTTTTCACAACTTGAATGGGTCATGGCTGAAGCTATGTTTTAGAGTTATACTTTGGGGGGAGAGTGTTAAGATTAAAAAATTGGGCATCAATCACCTGAAATGAAAAAAAAACAAAGTGAAATCCCCAAAGAAAGTAATATTCTAACAGTTCTGAAGCCAGGTTTTACAGACTTACGATTGAATGCACAGATCATGCTTTGTTCAAAGAACTCTCTTGAGCAGGCTTAGAATCCCTTTGAAGAGCTCTTAAGGGAATTGAAACTTTTGACACTATAATAACAAAGGCAGTCACATGTGGGGTAAAACAAATGGGTATGTTCCACTTGATCATTTCCCAAATGGTCCCATGCAGTATGTTGAACTCTGTGGCATGGAAACCTGCTTGGGATTTCTCATTACTGAAAGAATAGCTTTTCATAGATAATTAAAATTGTTTTCCTTTAATAAACTCTTCTACATCTGAATTATTCTTTGATACTTTCTTCAAGAGGATGTGGAAGAACTCGGAGTTATGAAAGGGAAAGATTCATCTTTAGCTCCTCAGTGACTGGTGGCTCTGAAATAAGCCTGGAATGATGTATTTTCAAGGATCCTAAATCTTCTTTACCCCAGAAATAATGGGGGTAAATAGAGGGTAAATAATGGGGGTAAATATAGATGGGGTAAATCTATAACTTATTTACAGATAGTCCTTGACTTATGACAATTGAGACCAAAATTTCTGTTGCTAAACATTTGTTAAGTGATTTTGCTCATTTTATAATCTTTCTTGCCACAATTGTTAAGTGAATCGCTGCAGTGTTAAATTAGTAACATGGTTAAGGGAATTGGGCTTCCCATTGACTTTGCTTTTGGTCGCAAAAGGTGATAACATGATCCCAGGACACAGCAATTTTCATAAATATGAGTCAATAGCCAAGCACCTGAATTTTGATCATGTGAACAGGGCTGCTGCTTTAAGTGTGAAAAAAGGTCATGTCACTTTTTTTCAGTCCTATTTTAACTTTGAACAGTCACTAAATGAACTGTTGTGAGAAGACTACTTGTATTTATTTATTTATATGTATTGATTGATTTATAAAATTTATTAGCACAATATTTCTAGAATAAAATTCTGGAATTACTAATATAGATATATTTAGAGTTGCCTTTAAAAATAATGTTTTTACAAAAATCAACATTGTATAAGCAGTTTAAAATAAGTATGGAAAGCAGAACAAAATAGCATCTAAGCAGGATTTAAAATAAACAAAAATAAAACAAAGATATTAGTCAAAAAGCTTACGGGCACCCAGAAAAAGATATAGAGGAAACATTGGAAATTCAGATAGTTAAAAAGGCAAAATATCTTAGTATTTAGGAATATCTTAATTTTTCCCCAATTAAGGAAAACAATTATAGGAAATTAGTTGTCAAGCCCAAAATTGACACATGTGTAGCCATTTTATTTAGCCTTATTATATATTCCTTTTCTTTCTTTCTCTTTGCTGGTCATGGGGCGGGGTTTGGGTTGCCACATTCCTAGGGTGGGAGGAGTGGAGATAGAGAGTGTTGTTTAGGCTAGGTGGTTCTCTTTCCCATGGGAACAAAAGCTGACCCTGCTGAGACCTAGAGGTGGAGATTGATGGCACCAGACAACACTGATTAACTTCTATTGGGGAATGTGACTCTTGGGGGGGGGGTGTTTTTAATTTCCAATATTATTAGGTTTAATTACGGATTGTGTCAGATCTGGAATTACAACAGATTTTGCCAATTTGATGCTTTCCTAAACAAAAGAAATTGTTTTGGAAGGCGGACTTTACTCTTTTCTTTTTAAATGGATTTCATCACTTGGAAACCTTACATTAGTACTACAAATAAGAAACCATCTGGAGACATGGGAAAAACTACAGATTTCACTAATTGGAAGAATGGTTGCAGTCAAAATGATTATATTACTGAAATTATTATATTTATTTCAAACTATACCAATAAAATTAGGCAAACCCTTTTTTGAGGAGCTCAATAAAGTAATAGCCAAATTTCTGTGGGTGGGGAAAAAAACTAGAATCAAAATGAAGTTAATGCAGGATAAAAGAAGGAGGGATGGCTTTGGACTTCCGGACTGGGAATTATGCTATCAGGCAGCATCCATGACATGGATAAGAGATTGGATTAATTTGGATAATAAAAGAATAGTATTAATGGAGGGACATGATTTGCAACTAGGGTGGCATGGATTCTTATGGGATGGAAAAAGCAAAAGTCACTCTTATTTCCAAAAACATCAGATCAGAGACGCACTTATTCACGTATGGGGTGGGGTGGGGGAAACATTACACTTTACCAGGCTGGTTGTCAATGATGGAGGTGATGATATACCCCAATGCAATGGACTTAAATAAAATGAGAAAGGAACTGATAGATTCACAAGGAAGGCTGAGAACAACACAAGAACTAAAGCAACAAGGTATAGATATCAATTGGAGGCCCTACTTGCAAATTCAGACAAGATATAAAAAAGATAAAGAAGAATATGGATTTTATAAGGATCAACAACAATTAGATAAAATAATTCAGGGAACGGAAGAGAAGATGATATCTAAAATATATAACCTTCTTTTGAACTTTAAAATGGAGGAAGAAATTGTAAAAGAAACAATTGATAGTTGGGGGAAAATTTGGGATACAGCATTGAATTAGAATATTGGGAAAAATGTGGGGGCAAAACTATAAATTAACATTATCAGCAGCATATAAAGTAAATATATCCAAAATATTTTATAGATGGCCCCTATCCCCTGCTAGATTGGCAAAGTTGTTTCCCAACCAGAAGCCCAGAATGTTGGAAATGCAAAAGTAAACAGGGCACCTTTTCATATGTGGTGGACATGTTTGGAAGCCAAGAGTAACTGGATTAGAATTATGGATATCTATGTGGATAGAAGAAATAATGAAACAAAAAATTCAATTCGGACCAGAACTGTTTTTATTGGAAATAATAAGGGGAGACTACACCAAGACAAACAAATACATCATTTTACATATAGCCAGAATTGTGTAGCCAGAATTGTGTCTGTACAGTACTGGAAACAGGATAATATACCATCTGAGGGGACAGTAATAAGAAAGATTTTGGACTGCGTGGAGATGGACAGGCTGATCTTAGAGTTAAAAGATAGAGGTGAATTGGAGTATTATCTGGTCTGGGATGCCTGGTATACCTGGTTGGACAATAGATATAAAAGTAACAAAGTAACTAATATATGAATATGAATGTTGACGATGCTGTAATGCTGAAAGTGTTGATATGTTATAAATTGTTGGAAAATGTTTAATAAAAAGTATTTATAAAAAACAATAAAATAGCATCTAAATAATGTTTATTACAAGATATCCTAAACTGTTTTGCTAGTGGGCAAAACAAAATGCATTTTAAATGCCATGACTGCTACGGGAAAAGAGATTGACCAGTCATAAAATGTCAACTATGATGCCACAACCAATCACATAACAAGTCAAATGGAGAAAGTTAAGGGAGTTGTATGGGGGTGCACTGGTGTATACTAGTATAATTATATAAGTGTAATAAATTTGTCAGAATATAAAAAGCTGCTAGACCACAATTAAGAATAAATAGAAAATCCTAGCAAATAGGGATGGATGTGGATGGCAAACAGGGTGGCAAACAGCAGATCCATGGTTTGTGAGTATCAAACCTCTTGAATAGCTT